GAAGTTTAGTTTAATTAAAAAGCAAAGGAAACCCATTTTAGGTTGAAGAATGGTTTAATTGGATGTTTCCCATCCCTCTCTTTGCTTTTCTTTTCTCTCTATCATATATATATATATATATAACTTACTTTCCTCTTTTTTCTTTCTTTTTTTAGTTAATCTGAAGAAATTCAGAATATTACAACTCTTCTTTATTCAACTTTATCTATTTTATTCTTTTTTTCCCCCATAGTTAAAGCAAATTATTGTTCATTCTAATCATAATAGAGATTCAATTTGTTGTACATGGGAAAATTTGTCACTGAGTATTCATATAGACACATACAAGGACAAACATTACGATAGTATATTAAATTTAGTAGCATGAATGTGACAAAAACATAAATAGTTGACGACCTCTATGAACTAAATTTGTACTCGAGAAGAATAAGAATATGATAGGTTTTCGATACTATAAACTTAAAAAAAAAATTAATAAATATAAGATGATTACGTACTTAATAAGATATCAGATTTCATATAATATAATAAATAGATTCTTTCATATGACTTTATCAATTATGAAAAAAAAATTAAAAATAATCGTATTTATCATTAAAAATCATGCTTTCAATTATCTTAATAATTTTTTTTTAAAAAAAGAATTAGTACGATTTAGTTCTTTTTAGAGAGAAGTGGAGTCCATGCGTTACATATTTGTTTTTAATGATAGAAGGTATTTGTCACTAACATGCTCTTAAGTTCATATACATAGATAAAATACTCGTTTATATTGCATCATAATATGTAAAGTTTATTTATTAACATGAGATGTATTTGAATTATGTTAAACAAAGTTTACCTTTTAAGAAAAGAGATCGGCATTTATTCATTTTCTAAATGGTGAAAATCTCTAAAATTTAAAAACGTAGTAACATATAATAAAATATAAATTATTCAAAGAAAACTATCCTAATTAAGAAATAATTTAGTGGTTTGGAAACAAAAGAAATACAAAACAAATTACGGTACAATCATATAAATACATTTTATTTTCTCGTCTATAGTCAAAGCAAGTCATTGTTCATTTTGCTAACCGTAGAGATTCAATATGCTACATGGAGAAAGAAAATATCACGAACAGTAGCTAGCTAACCTTGTTGCATGTGTATAACAACAACTGTTGATGAAAATATGTTTGCTTACAAAAGCATGCATGTGACATAAGTTGGCTAGTTGAAGACTTCTACGAACCAAAGCTCTATATAAATATATCTTATTTATACTATATAAGAGAGATCATTTCCTATAACTTTTCAATTATGTTAAAAAGGAAAAAAATGCAGTCATATTTTAGATTACAATTATATAATGATGAAATGCCTAATAATAAATAATTAGTGTTGTTTCATTCTTCCTAAGAAAATGTTGTGTTTGCTGAGATCGAACCTGTCATCCATTGCACTGATTCTGGACAAATTTAAATATTTTTATTTTTTTATTTTTTTTTCTGCACCATGCGAGTTTTTTTGTGAAACCCATCCCACCCTACCCTATTTGATATGAGGATAAATATTCTATTGCTGCATTTTGCTAAAGCAAATGTTCAATTCCTTGTAAGTTCTTGGGGTTGAAGAGTTGTATTGTTTTCAACTTTGTGAAAAACAAAAATGTTTTATTCATTTTTGGTGTTGAAAGTATGATTCAAAATTGATTTTATTTTTGATTCTTAGATTATGTTGCTGTGTTGTTTAATTGTGTCCCTGTTTTTTTAGCATTTTCATATGTAGTTGTTTGTTATGCCCTCCACTTATTTGAGATAATGCCTGTTATACGTTAGTAACTAATTTCATAAGTATGGTTGAGATTTTTTAAGCTCTGTCAGTTGTAAGAAAGCCTATATAACAGACATTTTCAGTTCTGAAAAAAATGCACAACAATTCCAAGGATTTCTTAAATTGATTCTTGCCCTTCATTGATATTTTTGCTTGCTGAAATTACTGCAGTCAGTATTTCTTCTACTTTCACTTCTTTTTTATATTTTGTTTCTGTACAGGTCTTCTAAATTCCCAACAAAAGTGGTATCAGAGTATGGGTTTGAAATGACAGCAAATGAGAATTCTATTAGCTTGTCCCAACCCATGATTCTTATCTTCGAAAGAGAGATTTATGAGTTTTGGAGCATCAAGATGAAGACCTTGTTCGAGTCTCAAGACTTGTGGGTCTTGGTTGAGCAAGGGTTTGCTGACCCAGATGAAAACGGAAGGTTGAGAGAGAACAAAAAGGACTCCAAGGCATTGTTCTTCATTTAACAAGCTGTACATGACTCAGTATTTTCTCGAATTGTTGCAGCACCTACATCAAAGGAGGCTTGGTTACCTCGGAAGAAGGAGTTTTAAAGGACATCAAAGGTAATTGTTGTCAAACTTTAGACTCTTCGACATGAATTTGAAACTTTATTTACAAGCAATGGTGAATCTGTCCAAGATTTTATGTCAAGAGTTTCTGCAATTGAGTCAAATGAGGTCTTCTAGAGAACAAATTAGTTATCAAACTATTGTTGAAAAAATTTTGAGGAGTCTAACTCCAAAGTTTGATCATATTGTTGGTGCCATTGAAGAATCTAAAGACCTTTTTGTGTTTTCCTTTGATGATCTAATGGGTTCTTTACAAGCACATGAAACAAGAATGAACAGGTCTCGTGATAAGGACGAAGAAAAGGCTTTTCAAGTGAAATGGGAGTCATCAAGTCAATCAAAGAAAAGTGTTGGAAGTGAACATGGCAAAGGTGGTCCACATGGCAAAGGTTATAAATCTTTTGAAAGGTAAATTGATTCCCAGCATTCTGAAGAGTGGAAAAACTACAAGATTGTCCAATGCCACTATTGTAAACGATATGGACATATCAAGGCAAATTGTTGGAAAAGAGAGAAAAAGGCAAGTTATGCAGAAGAGGCTAAAGAGGAAAAGTTTGTTTATGGCCCGATATGGTGAAACAAGTGTTGCAATTGATATTTGGTTTCTGGACAGCGACTGTTCAAACCACATAACGAGTGAAAAGTCCTTATTTCATGAGCTTGATGAGACACATAGCTGACTGTGAAGTTCGGTGATGACAACCAATTCAAGGTTGAACGCAAAGGAACAGTAGCTTGGAGACTAGAGGTGGTAAAGTAAATTTTTTCATGATGTCTTTTATGTTCCTAACTTGTCACATAACTTGTTAAGTATTGGACAATTAATGGCTAATGACTATTCAGTTTTTTTTTATTGTGATGCATGCGATATTAGAGATAAAAAATCGGGTCAAGTTGTTGTTAACGTATGCCTGGCTGAAAAATAAGATGTTTCCTCTTGAGGTCTCAAGTGTCAATCATCATACTCTTGTTGTTAGCAAGAAAAGTGAGTCTATAATATGAAATTTGAGGTATGGACACTTAAATGTTAAAGGCTTGCAGTTATTATGCAAAAAAAAAACTAGTACATGGGCTGTCTAGGATTGAGTCACTTGAATTGTGTAAGGGCTGCATATATGGAAAGTAAAGTAATCTTCCATTTCCTATAGGCAAGTCTTGGAGGACCTCTAAAACACTTGAATTGGCGTATGCTGACTTATGTGGGCCTATGAGGACTAAATCTTTTAGTGGCGGTAAGTATTTTTTGCTTTTTACTGATGATTACAGCCGCATGAGTTGGCTTTATTTCCAACAATTCAAGCTGAAACTTTTGACAACTTTAAAAAGTTTAAGGCTTATGTTGAGAAGCAAAGTGAAACATCAATAAAGGCACTTTGGACGGACAGAGTAGGTGAATTTTTATTTAACTAGTTTTCTTTGTTTTGTGAAGAACATGGTATTTCTAGACAATTGATAGCACCTTACACACCTGAGCAAAATGGTGTGACAGAGCAAAAGAACCGCATAGTTGTTGCGATGGCAAGGAGCATGTTAAAAGCTAAAGGCCTACCAAATAAATTTTGGGCTGAAGGAATTTCTACTGCTGTTTATCTTCTCAATTTATCCCCAACAAGAGCAGTCCCAAATCAAATTCCATATGAAGCTTGGAACGGTTTCAAGACTTGGGTAAACTAATTACGTGTTTTTGGTTGTATTGCCTATACTTTGGTTAATTCTGAAATTCGGAGTAAACTTGATGAAAAGTCAATAAAATGCATCTTTGTTGGCTATTGCACACATTGCAAAGTATATAGGCTATATAACCCTGTGAATGGCAAAGTAGCTATGAGCAGGAATATGGTATTTGATGAAGAAGCAAGCAGGAACTGGAACAAGAATGGAGAGGTAGCTGTAGAAAATCATATTCCACTAGATTTTGAAACTCCAACTGAAGCCAACAATGGAGTTCCAGCAGTCACATTCTCTAGCATTCATTACCAACAAACAGCCCATACAACAGCTCTTCTACACAACTAACTTCAGAAAGTTCTTCAGAAGAATCTCCTCCAATAAAGTTTAGATCATTGAGGGAGATATATGCAAACAAACAAGCCTTATTTGTTGCAGAATCAATTAATGTTGAAAAAGCATATGCAAAAGAAGAATGGATTAAGGCCATGAAGGAAGAGTTAAATGCAATCAACAAAAATCAAACATGGGAGATGGTGGATTTACCTGAAGGAAAAAATGCTATTGGGCTGAAATGGGTAATCAAAACTAAATATCATGCTGATGGGAGTATTGAAAGGCATAAAGCATGGCTGGTTGTCAAGGGATACGTGCAAACTTATGGCATCAACTATGACGACACGTTCGTACCAGTTGCAAGGTTTAAAATTGTGAGAACTTTCTTGGCTTTTGCTCGCACATGAAGCTGCCTGGATATCAATTCAATGTCAAATCTGCTTTTTTAAATGGAGAACTCTTGGAGGAAATGTATGTTACTCAACCTGAAGGATTTATCATCAATGGCAAAGAAGACAAAGTTTACAAGTTGAAAAAGACTCTCTATGGGTTAAAATAAGCACCTAGGGCTTGGTATAGCAAGATAGATGCCCATCTTTGCTCAAATGGGTATATGAGAAGTGTCCATGAGCCTACTCTTTACTTAAAGAGGCAAGGTACTGATTTTCTCATGATTTGTCATTATGTTGATGATATGATTTGCATGGGTTCATTTAGTGTATTAATAGATGAATTTAAATTTGGTATGTTAAAGAAGTTTGAGATGACGGATTTAGGATTGTTGTCTTACTTTCTAGGTCTTGAATTGTTGCAAAAGAAAGATGAAATTTTTATTTCTCAAATGAAATATGCTACTGATTTGCTTAAAAGGTTTAATATGTTGAACTGTAAAGCAGCAGCTACGCATGAACTTGAATGAGAAGTTACAAGTTGAAGAAAATACCAACATGGCAGATGCAAGGATTTTCAAAAGTTTAGTAGGTGGATTGATCTATTTAACTCATACACGATCGTATATTGCATACTTGGTCGGTGTTGTTTCTTGGTTTATGCATAATCCTTCAAAGCATCATCTTGGAGCAACAAAACGTATCATCTGTTATGTGGTTAGAACAGTTGATTATGGAGTTTGGAATGTTGCAAATTCTGATTTTTGTTTGATTGGTTTTTCGGACAGCAATTGGGCAGGTTCTTTGGAGGACAGGAAAAGCACTTCAGGTAGCATTTTTTACCTTGGATTTGGAGCTGTCACTTGGAGTTCTAAAAAACAAGCGACGAAAGCATTGTATCATCTGAAGCAGAGTATGCTGTTGCAACTTCAGCAGCTTGTCAAGTTGTATGACTCAGGCGTTTGCTCGCAGATTTCGGCCAAGAACAGAAAGGTGCAACTAAGATTCTTTGTTGATCGAAAGTGAAAATAAGCTTCAAGGGAAGCGCTGTGATTGAACAAACTTAGAGAGAGAAAGTTGAAGAGAGAGAGAGCAGCAAAACAGAGCAAGCTTATGCAACTACTTCTGTTTTGCTGTTATGAAGAGACGTGCTTTTTCTGGAGAGAAGGAGTAGTTTTCTTCTTTTATTTCCTCATATATATATAAGCAATACAAATTTAAATTGATTACATCAATCAAACGATTAAATCAGATCATTCGAAAATCATGCATGCACATCGCATGAAATTTACGTATCCTACTGTGATACAACTTCACGGTGGATTTCCATTTTTTGAATTTAAATTTAATAGAAAAAATTATTAATTTTAACACTCCCCCTTAATGACTTTTTTCACCAATCCCCACATTTTCCTGCAAATCCTCAAATTTAGCTTTAGATAGGGCCTTGGTTAGAATGTCCACAAGCTGATCATCGGAGGAGCAATGTATCAGCTTTATTTCTTGATTCCTCTCAGCTTCACGTATAGCATGATACTTAACGTTGATGTGTTTAGTTCTCCCGTGCATTACAGGATTTTTTGCAATGGCAATTGCAGACTTGTTGTCTACATACAACACTGTAGGTGTTTGTTTGTCTAGCTTTAGATCGTTGAACACCTTCCTCAACCAAATTGCTTGGTTAGTTGCTGTAGCTGCGGCTACATACTCAGCCTCAGCTGTGGACTGAGCCACAGTATCCTGTTTCTCAGATACCCATGAAAAAACACCGGAGCCTAGTTTGAACAAGTACCCAGTTGTGCTACGTGCATCTTCTACACTTCCTTCCCAGTCACTGTCACTGTAGCCGACTACTCCACCTTCAGCTTTTGCTTTGAATTGAACACCAAAATTCCAGGTTCCTTTCAAATACCTCAGCACATGTTTGGCAGCTTGTAAGTGTGATTCCCTCGGTGAAGCCATGTACCTTGAAAGTAAACTCACTGCAAATAAAATGTCTGGTCTGGTAGTTGTGAGATACAGAAAGCTCCCAATCAGACTTCTGTAATTCCCCTCTTCGACTTTGCTACCTTTCTCGTCCTTTGATAATTTTAGGTTGGACACCAGTGGTGTAGATACTGATTTACAGTGATTCATGTTGAATTTATTTAGTATTTCTTTGGCATACTTGCCTTGTGAAAGAAAAATACCCAAGCTGCTTTGTTGAATCTCCATTCCTAGGAAGTAGGTAGCTTCCCCAAGATCAGACATCTCAAATTCATTTTTCAATTTCTGCTTGAACTCTATCATTTTTCTTTTGTTGCTGCCTGTCACCAGTATATCATCAACATATACTGCAGTGATAAGTCGGTCTTCATCTTTATTCACATACAATGTGTTTTCTGTCATACTTCTCTCAAACCCACAGTGAAGTAAGTAAGTATTTAACTTATCATACCAGGCTCGTGGAGCCTGTTTGAGGCCGTATAGGGCATTGTGAAGAAGATAGATGTGACTCTCCTTTCCAAGTTGAATAAACCCCGGTGGCTGCTCAACATAAATTTCTTCATTCAGTTTACCATTCAAGAAGGCCGATTTCACATCCAAGTGCATCACACTCCAACCAAACTGAGCTGCCATGGCCAAAATGAGTCTAATTGTTTCATATCTGGCCACAGGAGCAAAGGTTTCTGTGTAGTCGATTCCTGGAAGCTGGGAGTATCCCTTTGCCACAAGCCGTGCCTTGTGCTTAGTTGTTGTCCCGTCCGGATTGAGTTTCACTTTGAACATCCACTTTACTCCAATTGGTTTTTTGTTTGTACTTAATTTTACCAGAGACCAAGTATTGTTTTTGTCAATCATCCTGATTTCCTCTTCCATAGCAAGTCTCCACTCTTGCTGCTGAAGTGCTTCCTCAACAGAGGAAGGTTCTTTTGAGGCAAAACTGCACCTTTCATAGATGTCAGCTAGACTTTTCAATTTTATTCTCCCTTCTGCTTCACCTTCTTCATCTTCTTCATCTTGTTCATCACTCTGAGTTGGGTTTGATGCCGTCATTGATTTCTTTCCTTCTTGAACTGTGACACAGTCT